GAGAAAGGTTTTTGAACCCTAAAGAGTAATAAAGCCAAATGCATTGATATCTCTCCATATTGCACATTTGGATGTCTTCGATTATGTACTGACACATTTTGGATGTCTTTGATTTATATGTGCTGTTGATCACATTGATAATTGTAGTCCCCTCTAGTAGCAGCCTTATAAATTTACGATTTCTTGTAAGAAGGGGTAACTCAGATATTGATTAGACTAAATGCCAGATAAGTTTTTAAAAATAAAGATGTACCTGTCACCACCCCTTCTATTAGATTAAAGGCTTATACCACAGCTAACCAAGTATTACATAAGATTGAAGTTATACCAGAGGCTTCTTCATTTTGGGTAGAAGATAAAACCCAAGGATTTGTGATCAACTGTGTTTTAATGAAAATTTTTTTTGTCTGGGTTTGCATAATGTTTGGATAAGTGGGACTTAAGGTTCTTTGTTCCAGGTAAGTAAAAGATAGGTATATTAGGACCTGCTGAGTAAACACTAGCTGTGATAATCTGCCCCAGCAGTTAATGAGTTTGGGGAGGGTTTAATTTAGTGGGTCAGTCCTCGCAGGTATGTCATACTGATCTGTGTGCTGTGGGTGGGTTTTCACTCGTCAGTGATATTCTGTGGTCCAAAGACTTGACTTGCTTGTGAGTTATTTTTGGTGGAAACTTGGATATTGGGTTGAACTTAAACTAAATTTCAGACTTTTGTCAACTTTATTTAAATTGATCGAAGTAAATATAGAAAAACTAAATAATGATAACTTCTAATTTATTTACGTGTCATTTGAGGATCTTCTAAAAAATAAAATTAGGAAGTTATTAACAGTGAATTTGACATTTTCATTATTATTATGTATTTTTTTTTTTCAATTTATTTTTTTCTGAAATATGTGTCAATCAACCTCTGCATATTTGAAGTCTGTACAAAGAATTTCGTTAATATAGTTATGTATTTTTGTTTTTTAGATGAAAGAAGTGTGTTACTCGGACTTCAGAAAGGAATCAATACTGGTGGACATCAAGTAGGATGGCTATTACAAGATGTCAGTGTCGATGCAGGTAAAAAAAAAAACTGTACAAGTGTTATTTTGTATAAAATCATCATTTATTCATAAATTCTATAGTGTTAATTTTCCATCCCGATGATGCTTGGAAAGGTTCAATGAAATAATACAAAATCATGATGATTTGTTTATTTATTATATTTTCATAAATGATCATGCTTGTGAATTTTTATATTAATGAAAATAGATATTAAACGTTGAAAAGAAATCCATATATATACTTGTCAGCAATAATTAGAATTTGCTCAAACTAACCTGTATTAGATACAATTTTTATATAAGGTACAAATTTATCTGGAGGCCAACAAATCAACAGGATGTTTTTTTTAACGCTGATGAATGTCAACAAAGTGTTATTCCCATGAGTATAACCAAGATGATTAAATTACAATTTCCTTTTCTGTGTAAATCATGGCTTGATTTGAAAATGATATCTATTTGTTCTGTAAATCAATAGGAACAAATTTCAATTATTTAAGCTGCTTGTGCATCTGATAGCAATTGAGAACTGATTTTTTGTTTTTTTTTAATTCTGCAATGTCATCATGAATTTCCTCCAATTTAAATGGATCGTACAGTAAAGCATACCAACATTGAAATGCTAGGGACAAATTGACTCTGCTGCAATCATTATAAAGTTAACTTAATTCTTTATATATGTTAAAATCACACAGGGAATGAAAATCTTTTTACTAGAATCATCGAATTGAATTCAGTTTTAAGTGTGTCCTTTATAACCATATTTTCTGTGTATTTTTTCATAATAATCTATAGGTCTTAAAATTGAGTGTCTTTGAAATCTTTATAACCTCGAAATGAGCCAAGCCTTTTATTTTCTCAGATGATGTCAAGAGTCAAACTAGTCTGCTGGATTCAGAATCAACCTACTTACCTCTAGAAATCGCCCCCACCCCCAACAGACCGATGACGGCGCCAGCTGTAACCAGTTCAGCCCCCCTCAACAACTACCCGTTTTATATGCAGACTGACAATAGGCCTGCGACGTCAGGGGAGTCACGCTATGATGCGTACGACCGTCGACCAATTAAACCTCTAAATACTGATGTGTTCAAGGGAATTAAGCATAGTTTTCAAGTGTCCCCTCCTACGCAATCGGGAAACGAGCCCGCTTTGGGAACAAAAAAGAAAACTCCGCCCACGGCACAGGCTCATGACTATGACACCAGTCAGGAAGTGTCGCAAATCGAACAGATTTTAAATCCTCCTCCCAAGGAAAATATTCCAGTGGAGGATATTTCAAAGATTAAGGATATTTCACATGATCGGAAGTCATCTGCCAGGTGGAGTGCATCACAGAGAACAGAACGCAAAGCAGCGCAGAGTAAAAAAGACAATGCAGATCGCAGTAGTATACCGGTGTCTAGTAAAAATAGTGCTCCTATTTCACGTACGCAATCGGACTACACCAAAGGGCGATATGCCCCTCGCAAATATTCTGAACCTAGTGATAAAGTGTCTTCGAGAACAAGAAGGACAGATTCTAAGTCAAAGGGAAACAGAGATTCAGGAGTGTTCTCCAGACCCAGTAGTGATGCTACCTTAGATGCAGGTAATTATGTCCCTCAGTGTTAGTATATTATGGAATGCGTTATCATTTTCAGGTGAGGGTGAAATAACATTTTACATCTGATCGATTCAAATTAATTGGTTTATAAGGAAAGTTGGTTAATATTTCTGGAAACCCATCTACTTCAAATAATGATACAGAGACATTTTGCTTTTTAATAGAAATATTTATTATGGAGTTGTAACTAAATTTATGTAATTCTTACAGTATGGCATTGTATGTGTACACAATGTGTTAGAAATTTCTAAACCCTCAATGGTACTTTGTCTCTATTTTTTACTGAACATTTAGAAGTTAAGCACCTCAGACGACCATATGACATCAGCACTAAAGGCAGTCCCAGTATTGCATGGTGTGATTGCAAGCTACCACAATGTTACCCCGCTTCACCACAAAACATGATGACAGGCAACTTAAGTCAGCTCTATATTTGAATACATACATGTATACCTATATCTTACAAATGTTGGCATGTTTTTATTGCCACAGACTGTTTTTGGCCAATGTCCAGTTTCCCTACCCACATACACCAGCATATTGTAAAGCAATTTTTTGTTTAAAAGGCTTAGTACAAATAAAAGACTCAAAAGACTGCCCTAAGGGTTTGTGAAATGAATCCATCAATAATGTATTGCATCAGGGACAGAAATGAGTAATTCCCAATATTGACTATAGGTCAGGTTAATTGAAGGACAGACATAAAATCTTTGAAATTATCTCCAACTGTCATGCCTTTAATGATGGTCGATGGACAGTATTTATGGATTTGCCATTCCAAAGTACTGAAGTTGATGCAGAGATGATATAAGTGCAGACTGACCTGCAGAAATGACATGTCTAGCACCTCTCCATAAATAACAATTTATGTCATGTATTGTCATGCATTAATTGCAATTCGTACAAGCTTCATGTACTCTGGGTGAACAATTCTGGAAATTATGACGTATATATGTGACCAGTTGACATCATTGTTATTTAAAACCTTTCCATCATTGCTGCTGAACATGCTGAACATTAGATAATTATACATGTTAATAATATGACAATTTTCTTTCATACCTTTCCATTATTTCTGCTAAATATGCTGAAGATAGATAAATATATGGCAAATTTCTCTCATGATTCCTTTGTATTTGTATTAGTGTATATTTATGACATTAATAGATTGCAGACTGATAGATAGAAAGGCTTTTTTCTTCGGCATAGGGGCTTAATTAAAATATATTCTGACAGTTGACCAAAAAAAAAAAGAGAAAAAGAATGCTTTGATTTTTTGATTGTGTGTTGGATATGGTTTTCATTTTCTATCCCTTATGAAGCAAGATAGTAGCCATGTTTACATTTTATGAAATTAATGGAAGAAAGGGGGCTGTTCTTGGAATATACCTCGACAGTGTGAAATTTGACAATATACTGATGTCGTAATTTTTATGCATTTATACTGTTGCTTCATATCTATTCTGCTTTTTTCAGTACCATTCTTGAAACTGCAAGACCTTGTGTTGATTATTAGAATGAAATTCATGATGATTAAAACTTGGTGGTTAAGAAAAAGATTTTAGGAACACTAAATTCTGCAGTAATTTGTTTCCAATTGCTTTGAATGACTGTGTTGACATGGGAGTGAATTTCCTAAGAAGTTAGTTTGCTTTGAGAGTCAAAAAATCACCTGCATACTATTAATTTTCAGAAGTTTTTGTATTAAGTTGAGAACACAACATATTGTGAAGTGCTTACAAGTTCCCATTTCTAAAGCAGGATTTGTGAAAAATTTGATAAATGGAGATCTAAAATGAGTTTTCAATGTTAGCAACTTCAGCTCAGATAACCTTGTCTTATTTATTATCAAAATTTTTTGCAACAAACTTACACCAAATGATTGATTGAAAACATGCATAAAAGAAAATTTGAATGTCTTTATAATATCAACTGAATGAATTGATTTATTGAGGAATAAATTGTAAGATTTAATTTTTTTTTTTTCAAAATTTGAAGCAGTTTCAAATGTATAATGTCCATAAGTTTTCAACATGTTCAAAGGGGTTGCAATTTTTTGTTATCATTTAAGTATCAAATGTAGGGCATATTGATACATTTAGGTGATATTTAAAAGTCTGCACTAATCTTAATATTTGAACAGACTACTCCGTACTTGGCTTAATTTTTGTTTCTTCTTGTTTTCTTGGTCTGAAGAGCATGCTTGAGCATTTTGAATGAATTTCTTCGACATGTTCAAGGTTATTATTTTAAATTACGTAACTTATGAGCCAAACCTAAGTCTGTTGTGACATCGATTAGTTACAAAACTGTCTCTTCTATCTCCAATATTGGCAATATTTCTATTTTTTATGTGGGTTTATTGCACACAGTCTGGTAATATAGAACTCCAGTATATTAGAAGTAATGGCAGTTGTTGCTAAGCAGACACAGACGAAGCTGCAATCTGTTTCCATGGAAACTTGATGGCCTTTATTTTCATGTTTGTTTAAAGACGTACAACACACTGGGGGAGATAACTCTTGCGATTTCAATTGAACGTTTGACGTGACGTCAAATTTAACGTCAAATATAAAGCGTCAAAACGACGAGTAAAACGATCCCGATGTATATCAATCCTGAAAGAAAATTGAGATATGGGGCTTGGCTGTGATTGTGCATACCATACTCAATCAATAAGTATTTTTTTAATTAACCGGATTAAACTCCGTAAAAAACAAGATATAAAATACCATCCCTTAATGTTTATTTCATTTCATTTCATATACAATAAATTGTATTTTTGATCAAAGCGCAGCATTTTTTTATCTTCTGAAAATTTTATTTTACATTGCCGAAATTCTCATTATGTACATCTGGCTATATAACATTCCGATTAATGGTCTTCATTACAATTTGTGCATACACGATATAAATATTGTTTTTCTTCTTTGATTAAATAAAACAACAATAAATATTATAAACAAAAAACTTTTTACAATGTAAAATCGATGTTGTTCTCAGACCCTTACTGATCAAAGAGGAACAACTCTGAAAATGTAGGAGATGTTTATTTTCCTCCCTTTATTCACGGTTTTCCACAGAATCAGATACATTTACAGCAAGACGTGATAAATCCGAGAATTGAATACTGTAGACCTCATATACACAATGTAAGTATAAAATTGAAAAGAATTGTTCACTTGTACTGAAATTATCTGCATTTATGAATATCCTATTGCAGCAAATCGTAACTTTGACTTTCTGTCAACAATGTCGGTTCGCATTTCCTCGAATCAAAACAAAACGTAGCCTGTACGATTTAAAAAAAAAATATCAATGTGGGATTTTGATATAAATTGAAATAGATGAAGAGTTTAATGTTTGATATTTTGAAGTTAATGTGGACGAATACGGAATTTTCATTTTAACTTTAGAAGCGACGACATTGAAAGAAATGCGTACAATATTATCATGAGGGGTGTATGTACATCTAATGCAAATGTCGATGTATCCCCACAGCCACATACTGTCTCGTTTGAAATAATGACATGAAAGAAACTACAATTATTCCATTTATATCACAGGAGAGTCGAACATACACCATTTTTTAATGAATAAAATTAAAGAAATAAAATTAAAATCAACATATTCAAGTTCAACAAAACTTGAATTCGTATCCAGGTTTCATGTGATATGGAATGCATAACGCATACGTACAGTATATGGACTAAACACTAAAATCTTTCAGTAATTTTTTCCTGATACATATAAAAACAGTAGTCAATATTTATTCTGCATTCATGAATTTAAAAACTAATGCATACCTCCGGGATTCTTGACGAAATACCAGTATATTTGCACTGTAAACGACGTTTCGTCAAACGCTAATGGTCTGCGACGCAAAAAAGGAAGGGGTGGGGGTAATAGGGGTATTCAAAAATTGCCTAAAAATCTACATTTAAGTACGCTTTACATATGAGAACTTTTAAATTTGTAAGTTAATATATTTTTGAAGCAAAAGCAATATTCCAATTTAATTTTTTAATGTGTATTTGCAGATTCATATAACAAAGTGATCGACCCCCGTCTGAAAGACGCGGGAACGTGATTTATTGAGAAAGGGGGAGGGGGTAATTTTCCGCTATTAAATCAAAACTGGTCGTAGAAAAATTATACAAAAAATTATGAAGATTATTTTTACTACCAGCTACCTAAAGAAAGTTTTTTACCAAAATTAAACGACAGGTTTTTTCTCAAAAAAATTTTGAATTTGAAAAATACGCAATTTTCAAGGCTTAGAAAATTCATAGTTTTTCAGTTTAAGGTCTTTAAAAATTGTTTTGATGATATGTATATCAAAAAGATGATTATGTTTTTGTGTTAAATGGTTAAAAGAATAAGCCAATGAAATTTGACATTTATATCTAACCTGGTTTTATTGAAAATCAAGGTTTAAGTAGTTCATTGATTAAAAATTTTCTCTCCTTGTAAACAACTAAAGGGGGGTAACTTCCGGAAGTTCCTGTCCAAAAACCACTCGAACGATTTTGTCCAAAATATGCATACATGCAGTAGATATAGTCATGTACTAAATATACAAAAATAACGAAAATTAAACGACAGGAATTTTTTGGGGTAGGTGTGTTGTACATCCTTAAATGACTAATTTGTATTTTGGGAAAAATTCTCATTGTATTAGCTTGAATTATCAGAAGTTTTCATGAATTCAATCAGTCGAAATAGGTATTAACACATTAATTAGTATAGATCTATAGCCATACATGCATTTGCCAACATAACATATAGACAAGGACATATCTACATGATCTATGCATGATTGTATGTATTTGTATGATAATACTACTCTTATGTGTATGGTATGTGGTCCATATTATAGTGTATTTTCAGAGGAATGAAAGATTTTGGGACTTTTTTTCTGCATATGTGCATATGTTTGATACATATGAACATGATGAAAGTATATATATATCTTCTGATTTTGCTTGTCAATGAAAAAAATCTGAAATGAATATGCTTTTGATTTAACTTAATATTGCCAATTAAAATTTTTTTTATTAACATGTTAAAGCCTTAAAAACATTTCACAGGAATATCATATTATTAGCAACAGTTGTTCTTTGTGATATTTGGTGCAATTAGAATTAGGTCAACAGAAAACATTTTCCATTTTCGTGATAGCTAACTTCTACTGGTATAACGTCATAGTAAAAGTAAACTTTTAATCTTAAAATCAGACCACTTTTGATCCAATTAGGTAAGACACAAAAATATAGTGAATGGTTTTGTCACAGACCTTATGAGAGAACTATATTCTACATAAAGCCAAGAACCTTATTAACAAAGGCTGTTTAATTGGATAATCACTGATAATCTTGGGTTTCATAACAGAAATGTTTGGATTAAACTTCAAAGAGTCTCTCTATAGGGATATATGATACTTTAAAAATCTTAAAAGTTCATTTAAATTTTAAATCAGTTTTAAATTTAACCATGTTAACCAATCTAGCTTTTTATAAGGATTGAAAGATTTGAATTTTAAATATATAAAAATGGTGATGTCTTTTTTCTTTGACAGTTTATTTGTATCTGTCATTTCATTGTTAAGGATTTTGTGTTTTTAAATAACCTTAATCAGGATTAAAGCCCCTATTAATCCCCCAAGTTATGGTGTAACTGTGTTTCATAGTCGTTGTTTTGACCATGTCAAAATGCCTTCTGATTCCGACCTTTCTTAACAGAGATTTGCATTTTAGTACTGTAAACACATGAGGAAAAGAATTTCTAATTCACAAATGTTCATCTAGTGATTTAAGTGTTTTTTTTGTGGGAAGTGGAGGACGATGTGATTTTTTAGCGTCCTATGGATATATCGTGAATTTTAATCTGTTGCTTGATTTGTGAAAACAACTTCAGTTGGCAATATGCCGTGGTATAATAAAACTGTCAGAGGTAGGAACTGAATCCTCCAACAAAACGCAGATCTATTTTATTTGTTTTTATTTATAAACACATAAATAAATTTATTTCATACTAACAATTTATTTATCATGTTGATTGACAATTTCAATTGATTTTGTGAATTATTAATTACTATGAAATAGAAAATACTCAAATGCATTGATTTGTCCAGTGTGGACAATTTCAGGTTTAGATAATTCAGAAATGAGAATCCACCAAATCTCAAACCACTGTAGATCACTTGCAATACCTTATTTTTATGATATAGTCTTGAACTTGGTAATAACAGGACAAAAATGTGGTAATTGCTCAAGTATTGCTATATAATCTTATGAACTAAATACTGTAACAATTTTCTTCCAGACCACAGGGCAGCAACCTTAATACAGGCAACATGGCGAGGATTCTGGGCTCGGGAACATAACCCTGAGGTGGTGTCAGTACGCAAGGAGATCCGAGCTCGCCGTGCGGAGGATCATATAGTGGTGCTCAGGTCTGAGCTTGATAGGTATGGAGTAGCTTACATTTCTTAGATTTAGCTCATAGGCTGTGAAACTAAGACACATTTGAAATAATTATTCTTATTGTAAGGCAATATGAATGCTGAAAACAAGGGACTTGTATCATATGATCCTGAGGTTAAAAAATTAATTGTTGATTTAGCATCAATATGACCATAGTTAAGTACATTGGTATGCATTTTCCGTCATGAATTCCAAAATGATAGTACATCATCATGAGTTTTAATTTAATTGAAAATTTTTTTTAGGCAGCGGAAACTATACGATGAAGAAAGACATTTAAGAGGACTCCAAATGGAAGCCATCCGCTGTCTATGGAAGGAAGTCCAATCCCTCCAGAGCTGGAAGTCGGAAGTCCTCAACTCCCAGCAGTTCCGGAACACCCTGGATTCTAGTCACCATGACGACAGCTATAACTACAGTCAGGAGATACAGAATACGCTGGAGAGGATCGGAGGGGGTGGTCGTCAGGGTGACAGTGGGAGGCTGGGGTCTCTGTCGTCGGTGGAGGAGGAGAGACAGAGGGAGCTAGAGAAGACCTGTGCCAGTCTGCAGAACCAGGTATACCCAGACATAAACTAGACTTAATAATCTTAAGATTGTAAGATGTATCCAGACTAACATGACTAATAAACATAGCTTAGTATTGTAATCTGTACAGTACATATAAACATAGCTCAATATTGAAAGCTGAATTCAGATTTATTTTTTAACAAACGCTTAATATTGTATTTGTCATCTGTACATATTTACATATAAACAAACCGCAATATTGTAAGCTGCAACCAGACATATAAACATATCTCAATATTGTAACAAACCAAGACTTATCACCTAGTTACTTAGTTTATAATGTGTTCATAGGTTGCCCAGCTCTCCCAGGCTCTACAGTCAGTGTCTAGTGTTGTGTTCCAAAGTGGCATTATGACCGCAGGCATGGACTCCATCAATAATGGTCAGTATTAGAATATGTAGATCAGAATAGATTTCTCATGCTAAGTTCTGGATGCTTTGAAGTTTATTTATTTTGAGTGTTCATTTAATTTGATATCCATATAAAATTTTTATTACAGATGCGGATCAGACATTGTTAGTCACAGGGTATGAGGAAGATGAGAGCTCCAGCTGTGAGGAGACCAGTTATACTGGCTCTAGATGGGGTAGGTTTCTTGAAATTCTTTTCGAATAGGTTATTAAAAAAATAATCTTTAGATCAGAGTTCTTCCATGTTTTGTCATGCCATGAAATTAAAAGCTGAAAATAATAAGTGCTGAATATAGAAATAAGACATGTCAATGATGTATTGGAGTGAGATTATTTTCAATGTATTTTCACTATCTAATGATTCTCTTCCATTTTAGCAACGGTCCCCCATTCCCTCTCGCCCTACCCCTCAGAGGAGGAGGAGCAGTACTTTTACTCCTTCCCTCAGCTAGGCTGCCCCACCCCTCCCAGGAGTCTGCATATGGAGCACAAGGGAGAAAACTCCATCGTTCTATCCTGGGGTCCTTCGAAAATCTTAGACTCTTCATGTAAAGAAGTTAACAAACCACTTCTTGGTATGTATACAAGTGCTGCATGGGTAAATGAAAATTTTTTGGTGTAATAAATACATTGACACTTTTGGATATTGATAATGCATGGAATGTTTTTGTTTATAGGATACAGAGTATATGTGGATGACAAACCAGTAGCCATGATCAATGGTTTGGCTGCCCTCGTCCATGGTCTTAATCCTGACTTAACATATAAGTGAGTGTTTAAAAAACTCAGTATAATTGATAAAACACAAAATCAAGATGAATTTAATTTTTTAAACCTGATGTTATCCACAGTGTATTTAGTGCAATGTTTTTGTTCCAGTTTGTAATAAATCTCTGTTTTTCTTAAAGGATATATGTAAAGGCAGTATCGTCTCTGGGAGAGTCCAACTCATCAGATATTCTGATGGCTGCCCTGTCCCAAGCCGCACGTAAACGTGCCTCTAGCACCGACAGCAACAGAACAGACAGTGATCATGATTCTACGGAAAGTTCAGACATTGCACGACGACGGAAGGACAATCATCAGCGTCAGAAACGGAGAATTAAATCTCCTCGACAAGACAAGAGACAGTCCAGTCGAAAAGGATCCAGTGCCAGTGATCAAGACAGACCTCCATCTAGGTCAGATAAATCAAAGTCTGTTAACAGCACAGATGGTGTATTCAAACAGCCAAAAATTCACACGAGACCAAGAAGTAGGGAATCCACTCTGCATACGGAGCCCCAGTGTTCGGAATCTGCCCCAAGCCTGCCACAACCCAGTGAGTCCAAACGGTCACCTCAGTCAGGAAGTCAGAGCAAAGGACCTTCTACCTCACAACTGTCAGAGACTTTTACAGTGGAGTCATCAGAGTCCTTGCTGATGGCCATCACGAGAGCTCAGAGTAGCCTCGGGATGCAGGAGTCAAGTGAACAGCCAGTGAAAACCCATAGGAGAAAACGTAGCAAAGACTTCAAAGCATCTGATTTACAGGATGAGGATGTGAATCAGAATCAAGCAAGTCCTAGTGCAGGAAGTGTTAGTCCGCATTCTTATAATATCGTAGAACAGCCATCCAAAATGGCAAGTGACAAAGACAATTTGAATAAGAGTGAGGATATATCGAGAGAAAAAACACAGACGCACAGGAGAACTAGGAGTAAGGACTACGAGTGGAGGAAAGATATAGATGTGTCTGGTCACGTGAAGGAACCAGAAAGGAGAGAAGTTAAGAAAGCGTGGGTGAAGGACTCCCCCACTGGGGAAGTACATGGAATTCCCATCATTGATGCTAGTAAAAGACATTCCTCTGGTAGCAGACCCAGTAGCCCTGCCCCTTCAGATGCTTCAGAAAAGTCGGAAAAGAAAAGGACAGTGGCAGAACTTTTGGAGAAATTCTCCAGCAAAAGCAGTGCAAATTTTGGTACCAATTCGTTAGGAACCGAAGGAAGTGATCAGCATGCTGGTTTGCCTCCTAGGTCTCGAAGGACCAACAGCAATGAAGACGTGAGTGAAAGCAGGAGAACTCCCACCAAAAACATGTCGCCATCAGGCAATGACAGACGAAGAACTCCATCCAATGGATCAGAGAGTGATGTGTCGGAAATTTCTAGTTCTTCGGCTGCCAGACAGCTGGACATGGACAAGAAACCGGGAAACACAGGGATAACTAAACTGTTACAGAAACTTCAGAACTTCTCCAAGAGCCAGGAGGAGTCCATACAAAGTCGAGCCCAGAAGATGAAGAAAAAGTCCACGTCAGAAAGTCCGGGGATCGAGGAGGGGCACCATCGGCCCCGGAGGATCAGTGGGGGGAGTGAGGGGGATTCAGTGTCAGAACGGACCGTTCATCAGAGTGATAGTTCATCCCAGTCTGATGATCCACAGTTAAATAGAAAACCATACAAAACTCATAAAAGGTAGACAACTGATGACCAGGATATTTCTCATAGTTCTTTCCCTTAGATTCTTCTGTAGTTGACATACTTACACTATCCTTTATTTAAAAAAGAAACTAAAAATTAATAATGCATGTGCTCTAAAAGAAACTGCCTTTGTAGATTATTTTAACATATTCTATTAGAATTTTTATTTATGTAGTCATTTCTACTATATTTCCTAAATTATATATTATTTATGTATCTATTTCTATTGTAGTTCTTAGATAAAATTTCTTTCTCTCTTTTTGTTGTGTGTTTCTGTCTCATATTGTAGTTTCTTCAGGGTGTGTATTTTGATAGAAAACTTTACTTCATGTCCAGTGAAGTGTGGAGAATTTTCCCTTATACAACACTTAGAAAAGATTTGGAATTGCCTTGATGTTGGGGGAAAATATCTTCATAAAAAAATATATAACCTCAAGGACTGAATTTCAAAGAAGCCTGTTAAAATACTAAATTATTTAAAGACTTTTAAAATATATATGTTAGGAAGTGGATCTTTTAAGACCCTAAAATAGTGTAAAAACAGGATTAATTGTAGATAAAACCCTGAAACTCTTTCTGATAGTGAAATAGATTCTTTAATCTTTCCATCTTTCCATCAATGTTTTATCTATCAATACTGTAAGTTCTATCATCATAATCACGGCATTCATAATAAAATAAAATTGAATAATTTTTTTAAATCACCAATTTAAAAATTCGTAATTTTTCCCTGTGTTGTCTTAAAACCAGTTATTCAATGATTAATTCTTGCAGGTGCATTATATTGTCAATTCCTTATTCTCCTCTGTTGACCCTTGACCTTTGTGCGTTTTTACCTCCATAGATCTGGTTCAGACCAGAAAGTGAATGTCTCTCAGCACCGCCAATCATCTGCACCCTCCACCCCCTCACATCACTCAGCCCACAGTAGCCATGGCAACCAGTTTGATGACTACACGCCAAGACCGGGGTCAAATGTCAAGCGCACTGCATCATTCCATGGTGTGACCCCTTCACCCAAAAAGGAGGTTCAACCAAGAAGGAGTGGTTCAGATGTATGTATGACATAAATATGTAAATATATCCTTGTGAGTATTTAGTGTTATAGTTTGTAAGATATAGGCTTCAAGATCAGGCAGTGTTATTTTATTTGTAGTAACTGAAGGTAAATTAGTACGGTATTTTTAATGAAAAAAGATGGATCACCATTAAATGCTACTAATCTATAGTGCTAATAATTCTATGTGCATTAACTTGAGTTTTCTTGAAGAATGATGTCTGAAAATTCATTTCTTTTTGGGTCATGTAGTGCAAGAATTTTTTGTTTTGTTTGCTAATTATGACATCAATATTATTTGAATTGCAGGAAAACTTGTATGATAAAATGCAACAACAGCCCACGGTATGTATCTCTTAATCATTCATCCATTCTATGTGTTTCATCTCTTATATAGCTGTAGGGCTCTTCATTAGCACTCTTTAGTTCAAACCTCTTGATTTTCATTCATTTGTGATCATGATCATTTCCATTTATCTCAGTTATTAGCTTTTGAGTGAATTGATATTGTTATTGAAATTGCTGCTTTGTGGCCATAGCATTTGCATTCCCATCAGGTGGATTCGTGGCTGAAACTGCTTTTTACTAAAATGACAGCATTTCAACAATTAACAATGTTTATGTGATGGCAAATTAATTTTAGAACAGAAATAAATTATCTAAGAAATAGCCTTACTAAAGATAGGGCATTAAACTTGATACAGCACTTTAGGGACTGTGTGTCATAAAAGTTGAATTGTTTTCTTTTATTAGGAATTTTCGACTCATTTACTCATTTCATCATCAACTCATTTTCAACTCCTCACAGACCAAGGTACATCTTGTCTGCCGCCATGTCATGCAGTTCCTCCTTGTGTTGTTTTATAAATTAATGTAATCACCATTTGTCTTTCTGTCCTTGCACCATTTTTTCATGTCTTATAAGATTGTGGTCATGTAGTACACATTATATGCATGATTTTTGTCTTTTTACACAGAAATAACCTTCTGTGACTTTCTTTTCTATTCAAAATTAAAAGAAACATCTTTACTTTTTGTTTAAGATAAACATACATTGTTAGTTGCTTATTTTTTTTCTAAATAACATTTTATAAAAAAAAATAGTAGCCCCCTATTTTCCATAAAATACAAAATGAGGTTGCATTACTTTTTTCTTTACCTCTGTGTTGCTACAAAGAATCTGTTTTCATCTTTCACATGGCCTTCAACAAAAAACCTGTTCATGTTTGCATGCCTCTCTCCCTTTTGTACACTTCATCCAAACTAGAAAATCCCCCTTTGTCTTGCTAATGTTCTTTTTGTTTATTTTTTTGTGATCAGGAATAAACAAGAAATACAAACAATTGGTGTCAGGTATAGCATGCTGAAAATTGCACTGTTTGCAACTTTGCTTTCTTTGCAGTTTTGATGTTCAATTTTATAAAGTAGCAATCCAATCTGCTAGTTTTCTTGCTTTATGAATCAAAGTAAGCTTATAGCAGCACAAGAGGAAATAGAGCTGAATTTTTTAGTTTGTATTTACTGGAAAAAATATAATTGCAAAAAGTATTATTCTAACTGAATTTTTAAGTACATGTTAATTTGATTCCTAGTTAAATTGAAAACTACAGTACAGTTTGGATTGCTCTTAAATTTGTTTCTGAAGGTACACACAAGACTGTTTAATTACTTACTAGGTACAGTACAGGCAACGCGGATCCCGGTCTCCGCGTCCCCGCCGCGGTATAATCACAACGCGGTATTTGGCCAGGTAGACAGGTAAACCGCGTTCCCTCCGCGGGAAATTCATCACTTACCTGTCCCCGCCGCGGTTAAATCATCGATCAATTACTGACAATTAGTATCGTAAACAAACGGGAGTTATCTCCCCGAATTGTAATTTGCGAATTTTTCCTGTAACAAAAAAAAAAAAAAAAAACCAAACAAACAAAAAAAAACCCGTGTGTTTATTAATAAATTTTGCTATGAATAGAATTTAAACTAAGAAAAAATAAGTTTATTTTTGTTTCTAAAATTACATATCAATCTTTGAAATTGAATAGAAAATTTTATTAAATTGTTACGTCTTTGTAATTGGTTAATTATTTTGTGTTATTAAGAATCTATCAAGAAACAAAATTAAATACTAGAAATTTTAATTAGTTTTTTTTTAATCTTCATATTATATGCAAACTGTATAAATGTTGAACTCGGACTGTTTAAGTTTCGATGAACGATTTTCAGCATTCATTTGGAAAAAAAAGATGTACATCTTTTTAAAAATGTACATCTTCATATTGTTTATTAATTAATTTCGATTTATTGTATATAAGATGTACAGGCCTAGGCTTTCTCTTAAAGTGTCAAATTACCGGAAAACATCCGATGACGAGCATTTGCAGTTACATGTTGTGGGCACATGAACTTAGATTTTCTTTATCCAAGATATCAAGAAAAAGTTCTATTCTTCTTTATTTCTCATCGTTTATGTTCTGTTCCCAAATTAATTTAATTTAATTAATTAATTTTCTTTAATGTATTTCCCTCTTTTATATAAATGTGCAGGCATTTTTCTCAAATTGTCAAATGACCGGAAAGCATTCGATGACGAGAGTTAACTTTGAGCACGTGAACTTTATACAAGAGATCAAGAAAAAATATCGTTTTTCACCTTCACATTAACATGTTTTACTTTTTCATACAATGTCTTTCTATTTAATTTTAATATTTCTCGATTTTCGTGTTCAATAGATAAGATAGGATGTGCAGGTGTAATGATAAACTTCACAGACGAAATTATAGTTTATATTAATAAATATTCAATACAAAAATTCATATATTTTTGTTTTCTTTGACAAATTCTGTTTCTTTGTGTATTAAGTATTTGCCGCGATCATTTCCTGTGTATAGGGATTAGCAGTGCCTGAGCAGGAAACTGCATGCCCTGGGGGTTTCACACCTGTCTTAAAGTATTCCCTCCTTTCGTAATGTTTGCTTATACGAGTTATCGTTCATGCGGGACGGTATGTACACTTCCGGTAAAGAGTTCCATAGCGCCATATTACAAACAATGCGATGGAACCACTACGTAATGAAGGCACAGACTTGCCGTTATCATTTAATACCACTGTGGAAGACATACTTAAATATCAGAAATCCCAAATACAAACATTTCTGCGAGTAAATCACATAAAAGTGAGTGGCAACAAGCTGGGTCGCCCAACGGTAGTGAAGGCAATAAAAGATCGTTCGTGCACTACGCCCAGTCAAATACCCACACATCAGTCGTGTCAAACTTCAGATGTACCTGTACCAGATATAAA